AGCGCAGGAGAGGAAGGCCCTCTATGAGGTGGATTGATTCAGTGACTGGGATAATTGGGATGGGAGTGTCAGAGACAGTGCGATTGGCACAGGACGGTGGAGTTTAGGGCTGTTGTACATAGGGTCACTATGAGTCGCAAGCGACTCGACGGCACATAACAACAGCAACAACTAGAAAAAAATCAGAAATTGAAGAAATAGACTATAATATGTTTTTAATTATTTTACTGGCATCTTGACAACAAGAAGGCAGCTCTAAAGGTTGTAAATATTCCAAGTGCTACTGTTACTCAGTATTACTGTCCCATTATAATTTTATATAAATATTTTGTATGTTATAAAACACATATATTAAAAAGTTTGTCTTTTAAAGTATGTAATTTAAGGACATTAATTACATTCACGATAATGTGTTATCACAACTTGTCATTTTTAAACTTTTTGTAGGGGAGCTCCGGTGGCCTAGTGGCAAGGAGCTGCAACTACAATCCCAGAGGCGCACAGTTCGAATCCACCAGATGCTCTGCTGGGAAAGGAGGGACAGTCTCCTCCTGTACCAGTCAGATCTGATTTGATGGTACACTCACACAAAAATTAAAAAAAAAACCAACAAAACTTTTTGTGGTGATATGAATAGAAAATTCTAGAGAAAATTGGTTTTCTGATGCCTGTTATGTTTTAAAACTATTTAAAAATGTCTGACACTATTTTTTTTCAAATAAAGAAGTACTATTCTAGTTCTTAAACTTTTTTTTTTAATTATTATTTTTGTGTGAGTGTACCATCAAATCAGATCTGACTGGTACAGGAGGAGATTGTCCCTCCTTCCCCGACAGAGCATCTGGTGGATTTGAACCGTGCGCCTCTGGGATTGTAGTTGCAGCTCCTTACCACTAGGCCACCGGAGCTCCCCTAGTTCTTAAACTTTTTCATTATTTTTAAAATAAATCAGCATAAAATAAAAGTTTTTTAACAATTTCTTATGTTTTTACTTATGTACTTAATTCTTTAATGGTAATGTGCTTAGGATTTTTTTGCTTTATTACATCTTTTAGGGAGCTCTGGCAGCCTAGTGGTAAGAATCTGTGCTGCAATTCCAAAGTTCAAATCTACCAGCTGCTCCAGGAGAGATGGATCAGCAGTCTCCTCCCATGTGATTAACTGCCTCTGAAAACCTGCTGGAGGGTCAGCTGTGGGTCAGTTCTCATTTGGTGGCACACAACATCAATTATATCTTTTGTGTTTTGCTAACTTCTTTTCAACTTTTGCTTTTTGGTAACATTTCTTCATGATGATTTTGAGATCTATATTTGTGGTGTTTCAGTATTCATTGTATTCTTTTCGTTTTTCTATGAAAGTACTTTTGGATTAAGACAACATACTTTATATTAAATTTTAGAACTTGAACATAGTTACTTTTCACACTATTTTTATTTAGATAATATGTTGTCATCGTTGTGTACCATAGAGTCGGAACTGACCCTTAGCTGACCCTCTGTTGGGTTTTCAGAGACAGTTAATAGCTCAGGACGAGGATTTCTCATCTTTCTCCCTGAGAGCAGCTGGAACCACTGGCCTTCGGGATTGCAGTGCAGTTTCTTGCCACTAAGGCCCCAAAGCTCCACTATACATGACGTTAATTTTAGAGCTTGAACATAGTTTGCTGCCTTTTACAAGTCAACTCAAGATGCTTTGTTTGCTCTTTTTAAAAATATTTCTTTTTAAAATTATTGTTGCATTATTCAGACTTTTAATAAATAGGAAATTATTTTGTAAGTTGTAAGAATAGTCTAAATTAGTTTTTGAAAGGTACATTGAAGTATGGACATTTGTTGGGACTATAGTTACTTGGAAGAACAAATTAAGGCCTTTAGTTTACCAGCTAATAGAATGATAATGTCAAAGAAGATGATATCACATCCTTTAAATTAGTTTCTAGTTATATCGTATTATATTAAAAGACTTCTTGTGATGGGAAAGTTAGGGACCTCTCTAAAGTACTGAAGAGCAACAGTGTATCTCTGGAGACTAAGGTGCGTCTGGTACAGGCCATGATCTTTGCAATCACTTGTTATGCATCAGAGAGCTGGACAATGACCAGGGAGAATAGAAGGAGAATTGATGCTTTTGAGCTTGGGTGTTAGAGTGTTGAGGGTACCATGGACTGCTAAGAAAACAAGCACATTCATCCAGGAGAGAGTTAAACCGGGCTACACCTTGGAAGGATTCTGAGGCTTCGTCTAACATACTTTGGTCATGTTGTAAGGAGAGACCAGTCCTTGGAGAAGGATATCATGCTTGGGAGGGTGGACGGCAGGCGCAGGAGGGGAAATCCCTCTCGGAGGTGTATTGATTCGGTGACTGGGGCAGTCGGAATGAGTGTGTTGGAGACAATGAAATTGGCACAGGACAGAGTAGAGTTTAGAGCTGTTGTACATAGGGTCGCTATGAGTCGCAAGCAACTTGACGGCACATAACAACAACAACAGCAACAGTTATATTGTTAAAATATCTTAATGCTGATCTTAATATTGAAATTCCTTCTGATGCTACCAGGGAGGTTAAAGCTGTTGAATGCTTTTCTGCATGTGTGTATATATTTAATACACCTAGTATGTTTTTATGTCTATTCCTACCTTACTCAGAATACTTGAAGAACCTCTTCTGGCTCATCTTCAGCCACTTTCTTCTAACACACCAATATGGGCTTGCCGACTAAGGAGCTGTGAGGTAGGTTAAAAATAATCTTTACTTAGAATAACTGGTTATGACAACACGTCATATCAAAATACTTAAATACAACAAATATATTTTGCACAGGGAACTCTTATGTACTAGTGGTAAGGAGTTGTGCTATAACTTAAAGGCAGGCAGTTTAAATCCACCAAGTGCACCTTGGGAGCAGAATGAGCAGTCTTCTCGCATGTAATTTACAACCTCTGGAAATCTGCTGGAGGGTCAGTTATATCACAACTAGATGGCACATAACAACAACAATACATGTTGTACCTGTAATATTTTCTGTTTATAGTAAATCCAGTCTCACCTACTTTTATTCCTTATAAATGATAATCTTTTTTTAAAGCAAAAGTCATATCAATCCCTAAGAAGCATACTTCAATATTATTTCAATATAGTTACTCTTCCTTTCTAAGAAACTACACTGTCATGTTTCTCTAATTTTAATTTTTCTAACATTTCCTCTCTATATATTTGCTAGTATTTCTTTTTCTTTAAATTTCTATTTTTTTATTTATGATTGCATATTTTCTTCCCTCTCATCACCCCTTGTTCCAGATTGCTCTCATTCATCTAATGTATAATCATATATTGTAACAGTGGCATTTTACAGTATTTGCCCATTTATACCAGAGATATTTCATTCAGCATAATATCCTCCAGGGTCAGCCATTTTGTATATTTTAGTTCCTTGTTTCTCAGTGCTGTGTAGTATTCCATTGTGTGAATATACCATAGTTTTAATATGTATTCATTTGTTGTTGGGCACTTGGGTTGCTTACATCTCTTTGCTTTTGGGAACAACACAATAAACATGGGTGTGTAAATATATATTTTGGTAGCAGTTCTGGGTTCTTTATGGTATATTCTCAGTAGTGGAATTGCTGGGTTAAATGGTATTTCTACTTCCAACTTTTTGAGAAAGCGCTATACTGGTTTCCATAGTAGTTGCACTATTTTACACTCCCACCAACAGTTAATCAGGGAGTGAGATGCCTCCTACTTTGTTTCTATTTTCAGGAGTGCTGTGTTTATTTGGGATCTCTTTCCATTCCAGATGAAATTAGAAATTGCCTCATTGAAGAATGGAATTGGTATTTGTATTGGGATTGATCTTGTAGATTACCTTTATAGAATTGTCGTTTTCACAATATAGATTCTTCCTATCCATGAGTATGGTATATTCTTTATTTTTTTTTCAGGTATTTTGTTTGTTTGTTTCTTGTAGTAATATTTTATAATTTTCTTTGACTAGGTCTTTTGTATTTCTAGTTAGATTTACTCCCCAAGTATTTAATCTTGTGATTAGCTATTGTGATGGATATTGCTTTTCTTAGCTCCAGTTCTGTATTCTTTTTGTCACTGTAGAAAAATCCAATTGATTTAAAAAAAAATCCAATTGATTTTTGTATGTTGTTCTTGTATCCTGCCACTTTGCCGAATTGGTTGACTATGTTCAGTAGTTTTCTCACTGAATCTTTAGGTTCTAAGTATACTATCATATCATCTGCACATAGAGATAATTCTAATTTGGCTATCTCTTATTACCTTCTCTTATTGCCATTGCTAAGACTTCCAATTCAGTATAGAATGGGAGAGGTGATAGTGGGCATCCTTGCCTAGTTCCTATTCTCAAAGGTAATGCCTTTAATGTCTCTCCATTGAGAACAATGTTGGCTCTTAGGTACTTTTTATTATGTTGAGGAAATCCCCCTCCTATTTTGTGAATGTTTTAATCAGGAAAGGGTGTTGACTTTTGTCAATGGCTTTTTCTGCATCAACTGATAGAATCATGTAGTTCTTATTCTTTGTTTTGTTAATGTGATGAATTACACTGATTGTTTTTCTTATGTTGGACCATCCTGGCATACCTGATATGAATCTCACTTGGTCATGGTGAGTTATTTTTTTAATGTACTGTTGTATTCTATTGGCTATGATTTTATTCAGAATTTTTGTGTCTGTGTTCATGAGAGATATTGGCCTATAGTTTTCTATTTTGGTGATGTCTTTACCTGACTTTGATATCAAGGATATGTTTACTTCATAGAATGAGTCTGTTAGAATTCCATCTTTTTCTATGTTCTGAAATACTTTATATAAAATTGGTGACAGTTCTCTGAATGTTTGATAAAATGCACTTGTTGTTTTATTATATGTTCAGTTTCTTCTTTCATAATGGATCTATTTAGGTGTTCAATTTTGGTCTGTATCAGTTTAGGTAGGTTATGAGTTTTTATGTATTTGCCAATTTCTTCTAGGTTTTCAAATTTGTTTGGGTAGTTTTTCATCGTATTTCATTGTTAACCTTTTTATTTTAGTTGGTTCTGTTGTAACATTGCCCCTTTCATCTCTTCTTAGGATTATTTGTATCTCTTTTTTCTTTTCCTTTGTTAGTTTTGCTAGTGGTTTGTCAATTTTATTGACGTTTTCAAAGAACCAACTCCTGGTTTTGTTAATGGTTTCAATTTTTCTGTTTTCTATTTGCCTTGTTTCTACTCTAGTTATTATGCTTTCAATTTTTTTAGAGAATGTCGAGTTTTCTTGCTGTTCTTTTTCAGTTTGTTGGAGATGGTTGGGTTAGAGAGTCAATTATTTTTCGTCCTTTTTGAGGTGTTTGTTTATTGCTATAAATTGACTTCTAGTAACTGCTTTGGCTGTTTTCCAGAGGTTTTGGTAACGTGTTTTCATTGTCATTTGTTTCAAGAAACTTTTTCATTTCTTTTTTTTTTTTTTTTTACTCTAGTACCCATTCATGTTCAAACAAGGTGTTGTTCAGCTTCCAAACCAAATGTATGATTTTTTTTCTCTCCTTTAACTTCTTGCTAAAGAGGTTTTTTTATTCTCCTAAAACATCTTTCTAATTTTGTAGCATTATGGTCTGAGAAGATGCTTTGTTTTTATTTATGTGTTTTTAAATTTATTGATGCTTATCTTGTGACCTGAAATGTGATCTATTCTGGAGAATGTTCCATGCACATTGGAGGAGGTGTACTATGCTTTTTTTGTTGTTGTTGCATTAGCCTACATGTATCTATGAGATCATGTTGGTTCATTTGTGGTTTAATTCTTTAGCATCTTTGTTGAGTTTCTTTCTTATAGTTCTGCCTTTTCTTGAGTTTGGTGTATTGAAGTCTCCTACTACTGTAGTGGTATTGTCTATTTCTTTTTCAATTCTGTTAATGTTTGCTTTGTATATTTTGCAGCTCTATCATTTGGTACATAGATATTTATTATGGTTAAGTCCTCTTGCTTTATTGACCCTTTAAGCATTATATAGTGACCTTCCTTGTCCTTTGTGATGGTTTTTGCATTGAAATCTATTTTATCAAAGATTAATATCACTGCTCCTTTTTTCTTGTTGCCATTTGCTTAGTATATTTTTTTTTATCCACCCTTTTATTTTTAGTCTTTTTTTGTCTTCACTTTTTAGATATGTCTCTTGTAGACATAATATTGATGGATTTTGCTTTTTTATCCAATCTGCTGCTATTCTTTTTCTCTTCAGTGGTGCATTTAAACCATTCACATTCAGTGTCATTATTGAGAGGTAAGGTTTTACTGCTATGATGTTGTTGACTTCTTTTTGGTGTTGTTGCTACTTACTTTGGTCCCTCATGCTTTCTCTGGTATCTCTGTAAGAAGGACTTCTCTCAATTTTCCTGCAACACTGGTCTTACTACAAACTCTCGTAAGTTCTGCTTTTCTGAAAATATCTTAATCTCTTCTTCACATATGATGGAGAGTTTTGCTGGCTTCAGTATTCTTGGTAGAGAGTTGTATTCTTTGAGTGTTCAATATATGTCATTCCACTGTCTTGTTTGCTTGGTTTCTGCTGAGAAATTGGCACTTAATCTTATTTACTCTTCCTTATAGGTACTCTTTGTTTCTCCCTACCTGTTTTCAGAATTCTCTCCTTATCTTTGTTTCTGGAAAATTTGACTATGATAAGGATTGGGGGTGTTTGTTTGCTTGTTTGTTTGTTTTTGGGAGGGGGGTTCTATTCTATATGGTGTTAGCTCAGCTTCTTGAATATGGTCTCTCATTCTTTATTATGCCTGGAAAGTTTTCTTCTAGTAATTCTCCCACAACTTTCTCCATGCCTTTACTTGTTTCTTTCTGTTCTGGATTCAGATTATGTACATGTTATTTCTCTTAATTGCTTACTACATTATTCTTAGACTTCCTTCTTTTTCCTTCCTTTTTGATTCTGCTTTCTGTTCTAGCAGATCAGTGGTCACAATTCTATCTTCTTTTTCACTGGTTCTGTGTCCATCTCTTCAAGATTATTCATATACCCTTCCAACATGTTGACAGCATCTGAAACTTTGGTTCTCATATTCTGGATTGTGGTTTCTTGTTTTTCCAGAGCCTCTAATGCCTTCTTTGCTTTATCTGCATTGTCTTGCATTATTTTTTTAAGTTCCTTTTGTTTTTTGCTTGCAGAGTCCTGTAATTCTCCAAGTTTGTCTTTCACCCATTGAAAATATGAAATCATTGTTCTTTTGAATTCTGTGTCAGGAAGTTCCATCAGATGGCCTGGCTTACAGAAATTCATTGGATACTATGTCACTTTTTAGAGATGACATCTTGTTTTGGGTTTGTGTAAGGTGTGAGATAGTCTAATTCTTCTGTGTCATTGCTATGGTAGAGTTTTTCATGCCTGAGGCTTTACCTGACTCTTGGTCTGAAACCTTGGCTCAGGAAGTCACTGCTCCAGAGGAGGGTGGGACAGCTACCCTGCCTGAGTTTCTGTCTTATCTTTTGACTCAAGAAAAGACTTGTTTCAGTTCAGAAGATATACCCTATGAATTAGCAGCCTTTTCTGTCAGGTAACTGCTGCACGTAGGCAGGTCCAAAGGGTCAGCAGCTCAAGGGAGCTCAAGCTTTGGGAGGATGGAGGACATTACTTCAGGTGAAGTTCAGAGGGGTGGCAGCAGGTCTTCCTCAAGGCGGTAAGGCTAGGGCCTCTAAGTGGTGGGACCACAACT